AGTCCATAGAGGAGCTCAGGAGCCACAGGTAAGTAAGTAAGTAAGTAAGTAAGTAAGTAAGTAAGTAAGTAAGTAAAGTTTAATTTATAAATCTCCTTTCACAGAAACATATTCACAAGGTGCTGTACAATCATTAACAGAATAAAAATGGTGAAAACAATAAAATGAAACAGAAAAACATAATTATGCATAAGCAAYGAAAATTGAACATCAAATCAGGAATTAATTTCTAAAATTGTAAACCAAACACAAGGTCAATGCAGGTTAAAATATTCAGTAATACACAAAAACATAATGAATGCAGGAGAGAAAATATGGCGTAAGTTCAATAGTAAAGAAAACAAAGATTAGCGAAGCAGGTAGGTAGGTAGGTACTTTGATGCTGCTGATTGCAACGAGACCCGAGAGTTAACCGCCATTTTAAACTGCTTCAATTTTGCTCAGCATGTTTCAGCCCCCACTCACCAGCATGGTCACATGCTGGATTTGGTCTGTTCTCTGGGATTGAATGTAAACAATGTGTCTGCCGAGGACCTGCAAATTAGCGACCATTGTGCTGTGTTTTTTGATGTTGATGGAGCCCCCTTCCCCCAGAGAGCGGGTTCAGAGAAGGATTCTGAAACAGAATGCTGTTGACCTGTTCTCTACCTCTTTTGATCCATCTTTAGCTGTCTCAAATCAACCTGTTTTTATCAGTTCATTAGATAGTCACTTTTCAACTGTTTTTAATGACTGTACTGTGGCAACAACTTCAAAAACAAAAGGAAAAAAAAATTTCCTTTTGATTTTTTACCTGGATTACTGAGATGCATCAGGACAACTTCAAAAACATCTACTGTTAAGACAGCAACTCCTTGGATAAATGAAACCATTCTCTCTGCTAGATGAAAATGTAGACAAGCTGAGTGTCTCTGGAAATCATCTCATTTCGAGGTGCACAGGCTTCACCTTAAAGAACTTAGGTCATCACTACAGATTTTGCTTAAAAATGCCAGGTCCCAATATTTTGCACAATTGGTCTCCCGTTTTAAGAAAAATCCCAGAGCCTTATTTGTCACCATCGATAACTTGGTTTCGCCAGCTGCTCCCTCTCCTGTTGTTCATTCACCGGCCAGCTGCAATGATTTTCTAACATACTTTGTTGATAAAAATAATAACATTCGCCGTAGCATCATAACACAACAATCCCGTGCCCCACCAGAATTCACCACCCAACCTGAAATTTCTCCTTCCCATTCGTGGTCCACTTTTGACCTGGTAACAGTTGACAACCTCAGGGCCATAATACGAAAAATGAAACCATCTGGTTCCCGTCTTGACATCTTACTTCCCGGATTCTTAAAAGCTGTCTACGATGTGGTAGGGCYTTCACTAGTAGACTTGATAAATCTCTCCTTACATCTGGATGTGTACCGGGATCACTTAAAAAAGCGGTCGTGGAAACTATTTTTAAAAAAGCAGTCTTTAAACCCGTCTAACCTGAACAACTACCGACTGATCTCAAAGCTACCATTTCCGTCAAAGGTCTTAGAGAAAATAGTCTCAACACAGCTCAATGACTACCTGGATGTTTATAAACTGCATGACCTTTTCCAGTCTGGCTTCTGTAGATTACACTCTACAGAAACTGTTCTTCTTCATGTAACAAATGATCTGCAGATGTCTGCTGACAGAGGAATGTGCTCTGTTCCGCTTTTATTGGACCTATCCTCAGCATTTGACACTGTGGATCACACTATCTTACTTCACAACCTGAGAAATATAGGGATATCAGGAACTGTCCTAGACTGGTTCAACTCRTACCTCACCGATCACTCTTTCTCAGTCAAACTAGGCCAGTCTTTCTCTGACTCAGCACCACTCACCTGTGGAGTACCACAGGGTTCCATTTTGGGCCCAATTATTTTACTTCTATACATCCGCCCCCTGCCTCAGATCATCAAAGATTTCCCTGACATTTCTTATTATTTTTCGGATTGCGCAGTCTTGATACTTTGATGGTTGTACAGCTTTTATACTTTTTTGTTCCAAATTTTTGTATATCCTGTTCTGATTGTA